GATAGCGCATTCCCCCTTCCACATAATATGTCCCATAATACTCTAAAGGATTTTTGGTTGTTGCGCCTGCGTGGACAATCTGGCTGCTCTCTTTCTCGACAGATCATTCAGCGCTTGCGCCGCGCGTGCTAGGCCCCCCCAATGAAAAAACCTTTTCTGACAACGCAGTGTCGCCGAGCTCCCCCCTCCACGTAACGTGTCCCCTAATGTGATATAGGATTTTTAAATGTTGCGTCTGCGTGGGCGACCTGGCCGCTCTCGACAGATCGCCCCGCGCCATCGACGCGCGAGCTCCGCGCCCCCCAATGAAAAAACCTTCTCTGACAACGCAGTGACGCCGAGCTCCCCTCCTCCACGTTGTATGTCCCATAATGTTATCGCGGGTGTTTAGATGTTGTGCCTGCGTGGGCGATCTGGCCGCCCTCGACAGATCATCCCGCGCCGGCGACGCGCGAGCTCCGCGCCCCCAATGAAAAAGCCTTCTCTGACAAAGCCGTGGCGCCGAGCTCCCCCCTCCACGTTCTATGCCCCATAATATTATAGCAAAGATTTTTAGATGTTGCGCCTGCGCGGGCGATCTGGCTGCTCTCGACAGCTCGCCCCGCGCTGGCGACGCGCGCTACGCGCCCCCCAATGAAAATGCCTTTTCCTCCTCCTCCTCCTCCTCCTCCTCCTCCTCATCTTCCTGCTCCTCCTCCTCCTCCTCCACCTCCTCCTCCTGCTACTCCTGGCCCCCCTCCTCTTCCCCTCCTCCACGTTGTGCGTCCCATAATATTATGAGAGATTTTTAGTTGTCGCGTCTGTTTGGGCGATCCGGCCGTTTTCGACAGCAAGGGCGCCGCGGCCGCGAAAACGTTGCATTTTGCTGCGCGACGGGCATCGCGCGAATAACTGCTTCCAAAAAGTTAGATTATTTGTCGAGCTCTGAAGGAGGGCCGAGGAATAACTAGAGCGCCACTCATTCCCCATCGTCAGTGCAGTGGCCCGCCACGCAGGACGAGGACGACTCGGATGACGGACTGGACGGCGCCAGCGGGTTCTCGACCGAAGCCGCGCGCTTGTCCTCGTCTGGGACGATGATCGGCGATAAAATCAGCTCGCCGCTCCAAGCGCTGATGTCGCCCAGGCGCGCGGGCCCCGTGGTCTTGCGCCGCTTGCGCTCCCGCGGCTCGGACCAAGTGTGGCGCAAGGCGAAAAGGTGCGGCTTGACGCAAAACGTCTCGCAAGAACGCTTTTTGATGCTCTCGTACGTCGTGGCCAGGCAGCCTCCAGACGCACTGTGTTCTCGCGCCCGTAGGGCGAGTCGTTGAGGCGCACGACCACGGCCCCCGTCTCGAGGGCCGCGGACCGCTTGAAACGCACCTCCTCCGGCCCCGCTTCACAAGCCACCCTCAGCTGGGCTTTGGAATCCTTCAGAGCAATCTTCGCGGCCTTGACCTTGACGGCCAGCTCGCCCTTGGTCTTCGGATCGCTCCTGACCCGCTGGATATGCACCCCGTTGTCCTTCTTGGTGACGATCGCCGCGAAAACCTCGGGCTTGGAGGAGGCGGTGGCGGACGAGGAGGCGGGCGCAGACGACGCCATTGCAGGGCCAGGCGCCAGGCGCAGTTTGAATTGCAAGGGGCGCCAAGCTGACTTGATTTGAAATACTGCGGAATTGCCGACCATTCGCATCCAATGAGATCGCCGAGGAGACCAACGGCGCATTCTACAACAGATGACGGACCATCCTACAGGAGATGTCGGCGCATCCTCCTCCTCCTCCTCCTCCTCCTCCTCATCGTCCTCCTCCTCCTCCTCCTCCTCTTCCTCCCCCTCCTCCCCTGAAAGGACTCTCTGGTGGCCCGAGTAGCACAAGGAAGACGACGCAAGAGAGGAGCCCCGCCGCTCGCCCCCAGGGGGGGGGGGACGAAAAACCAAAAACAAAATGCAAAAACCGAAAAACCAAAGAAATCAAAGACCGAAGGCTGAACAACAAAAAACATGGAAAAAACAAACGGAAACATAACAACAAAGATTTCAATGAAATCTGGAGTTTTTTATTGTGTTTGTGGTTTTCATTGAACTCATTTTTCTATTTTTTCACTGGTATGTGTGGGTGTTCAGCATTCGGTCTTTGAGGTCTTTGTTTTTTTTGTTTTTTTCATTGTGCTTTTTTGTTTTCCAGCCCCCAGCGAGGGGGGCGCCGCTCGCGAGAGAAAACTTCGTTCATCCAAATCCTAGGGGGGGATACCGCTAGGCCCATATATATATATGTATAAGTGTATACACACAAACGCACGCACGCACGCACGCACGCACGCAGAGACACAGACACAGACACAGACACAGACACAGACACAGACACAGACACAGACACAGACACATCCGTAGCCATTTTGGCTCAAGCCATTTTGGCTCAAGGCATGGTGGCTGCGGGAGAGCCCCTCCGTGGGGCAGCCGGTGCGC